CTTGTCCATTTTAAACCGTTTTCCCAAACAGTATAATAGTGAAAGTTACCATTGGCAGGACAATGGCTTTAGTGTGCTTGTGATTAAAGTGTTTTGGGTGTCTGGAACAAGGTAGCCAGGCATGTTTGTAAAGCCACATGGTTCCCTGTTTTTTTTTTCAACAAATGGCTAGTCAAGATTATTGGCACCTGAATGGGTTGAAAGACCTCTTTTCATTCTAACCTTATGTTCAAATGTTCCTTTTCTGATCCTGAAAAAATTGCTTTTTTCTCTAATGTCACAGGAAAGTGACACTTCACAGAAATCATGTGCAAAGTGCTTTTGTGACAGTCAGTCAGACTAATCACTGCCTGAGAAGAGCCAGTTGTCAGTCTGATCAAACCACGGGGGTAGCCAGGAATTGGTTTTTGGGTTGGCCTGTGCAAAAGATGGTGGCCCGGGCTCTAACTGACCGTCCTGCCAGCATAGGGGCACCCCTCCAATTTACAATCCTATCCTCAAGCGGTATAATTAAACAGTAGAATTAGCGGAACCTTATATACATACTGGCTCTCTCTCTCACAAACACACACAGAGATTAAGCAACAATTATCTAAACTACCAAACGCTACTGTGCCACGGCAGACACACACACAAAAAAAACAATCAGTGCCTACCTCTGTTGTGAGGTTTTGGCCTTCTAGACCAGACACAGGCATCGGGGTTTGGAATTGAATATGGCGATAATATCGTCACTTAGAGAGTCGGCACATTCCCATTCAAATGACAGCTAGTTTGAAAAGGTCTCTCTTATGAGGACTATAGCTAAAGAAAAGCTGCCAGAGCTCATTTTCACTTGTTGCTTGTAACAGTTCTAAGTATTTTATATGCCTGATTTTGTTCAGTAGTTTAATATATATTTTAATATTTTATTGCAAAACACAATGAACACAATGCAAAACTCAAAAAGATTCAAAATCCGTCTGAAATATTGTATTTAAAATACTATGCAGGGTTTACCTTGCAAATATTCAGCAGACTTTAGCATAACATATCAGAAGAACGTGCACGCACGTGCAGTATGCTTTTCAGAGGTTGGAGTAAATGCATCGCCCCAAGGGTAATATCGAGTGAAGCCGTGGTGCTTAGAAACTGCTCAGGTATTAAAATGTTAAGTTCTGAAGATCTTGTATGATCCTTCATGATGCTATTAAACTTGTATGAAACCCACAAAATTAGTATTCTATATTCGATGCCAAAAGACACCTAATTTGCACATTTGTGACTTACTTCCCACAAGACTTAACACTGAATTGGTATACTCACATTACAGTGATAACCAATTAATTGTACCATTAATTGCACAAATGGTCTGCTAATAAAAGCGTCAAATACATACTTTGGATGTATTTTAGCTCTGTAAATGTCATTCACTTAAAAATACTGCAACATTTAGAGGCAATATGAATAGCTATCTGTAAAAAGCACACTCGCATCTATATGTTAATACTATCTTAATGTTATAAATGCATTCCAAAACTTGTAGTTTGTTTAC